TGAAATATATTGTGTCAGTAAAATAGGCATATTTTATTGACTCAATATAAAACATATATATTATATAATCGAAAGAATATAAAATTTGTTATTTTTTGTGCTATGCACTTGAATTTCATCTATTTAATCTTCCACGTTACTTTAGAACTTTATACCTGATATTAGCTAATATATATGTTAAATGGAAAAATAACAAGCAGATCAGATTTTACAAATTGATGATATCAAAAAACGTTGTCATCTTTTAACAGACAATAATAAACCATTATGCATAAATGTTATCAATAATAATCATTATCATCTTTAAAATTCAAAATCAATTCTGCTGATTTGTATACTACTTGATCATTTAATTCTGTTTCAGTTAAATTAAAATCAATAACATCATTTTATTAATTATCTTAAATATACAACTAGGTTGTTTTAAAATTTATATCCTTTATTTCCTAATTAAGCTTTATATAGATTTTAAATTATGTTAGTTTTTCGATTTATAATAATTAATGCAGAAACACATAATTTTGTTTACAATTTTCTTCCAAAATTTAATTTCAATATTCAATTTTCCCTTAATTTATAAGAGCATTGATATCAATATTTGATGATAAATGCAATTTTAATATCACCTTTTAATATATACATTTATTAATATTAATTTTAAAGATTTCTACACCTTTGTTGAAGTTAAAGCAATCCTTTTTCTAATCTATTTCAAAATATTCTTATTTTTTCTTATTTGCTCAAAAGAAGTAGAATCAATTGAAAAGGAATTTCAAATTGAAGAAAATTTAAATTAACATCTCATCTTTTGATCATCTTTAAATTATTAGAGAAACTATTTCTTAATAATAATTAATCCAAAAATACATAAATTTTCATTCAGAATATTAACAATAAGAAAGGAAACAATTATTTAACTCTTCAATTGCAAGAGAATTAAATTAGACAGGTATAGCAGTTTATTTGGGTTTATTCTAGGCTTAAATCTATATTTTCAAAATTGTCTATCCACTATTAAAGATCACCTTTCTAAAACGAAAACGACTTAAAAAGAATATATTATCAATTTAAAAAGGTTTTATTAATTACTTTTTGAACAATAGAAAAAAGTAAATTTCAGATTTATCAATAGTGTAATTTTTTAAATGTGAAAAATATAAACATGACAGTGTTTCAGCACTTAATCTGCTCATAAAAGCAACAGGTACTTTTATATTGTAAATAAAAGGTTATCAAATAAGTAGTGATATCAAAAGAAAATTTTTAATTCAAAAAAGGAAGCAATTAAACCTAAATATAATTATTGCTAAAAAATCAATACTATATTGTTAATAATTTATGAGAATATTACTAGAACAAAAGTATATTAGAGTTGCATTGCTTGTGCTAATTCTATTTGAGTTAGATTTAACACTGAATTACCTTCCTCAATTAAGCTTTGTAGATGTATTGTAAAACAAAACTTAAAAATCCATAAAGGTTGATAAAGTGGTATTCCAAAAATCTACAAAACTTTAGAATTAGCTGTTAAATTAATTTAGATTTTTTGTCGGAATAATAAAATTCAAATATCATTCCTTCAATTAAAAAGATAAGGGATATTTAAAGTTTTTTAATAAAAATAAAATAAGATCTTAAAATCTAAATAGAATGATTAAGTGAAGAGGCTAAACAATTTATTAAAGGCTTTAACTTTTCAGCTATTAAATCCATTAAAAAATAGCTAAATCCCTATAGCAAAGCATAAAATTAATTGCAAACAAATGATAAACATTAAATGAAAACTAAAACAAAAATAGATTAAAATAAATTAGAAATAAAACGAAAGAAAAATATCTAATAAATTTAGAATATGGTTGAATCCATTATAGATGTTGAAGCATTAAATGAGGAGTAGCATATGTATAAATTTTATAAATTATTATTTTTAGTTAATAAGATTCTCAAGTATTGGCATAATTATTTTAGTCAAACATTAACTAAGACTCATTAGATCATATTAAATTACATGAAAAAGATAATTAAAGAATTAGACATGTCGATGGGAAAAAAAAACAAATGTTGGTAGATTCTTCCGTGTGCCTAAAGAGAAATAATTAGAAGCAAAAAATCAAAAAAGATCTTTAAAAAAAAAAGCCTTAGAAGGGAAAATGAATAGGAAATTAAAAATTATTGACGACTATGAGAAGGAAATAAAGCTTATTGAAAACAAAATTAAAGAGATAGATGGTCCATGACATTTTGTTTAGATTTATTTTAAAATATCATCTATAGGTTTTATCATTTATAATCTTGAAATGAATTCAAAATATCATTTTTTATATTTTGTTTCTTCATATATTAATGGTATGATTTGAAAAATAGCAATTCCTCAATAATTTCATTTTTTTTCACTGGCTTAAGCAGACCGATCTATAATTTTTTCTAATTTGGAACGCATATTTTATCAAATAGAACCCCTAATAAGTAATTTGATGTAATAATTGCTGAAGTAAGTTTTGGCAAATACTTTCACTCTAAAGATGGTATCAATTGATTTGCATCGGATCTAGAAATCTTCAAAGAATCGGCTTCCTCTTAAAAAATATTTTACATTATTATAAAAGTTCAGTTTAAATAAGTGTGAGTGCATTGATTAATGCTTTAAAAAAAATGTCTAGAGAAGCAAAAAATGTAAATTTGCGGAGTTGTCTTGGGATTTTTTAACAAAGAACAATATATTTTGCAATATCAAAGAAAATATATTAAATTATTTCTTCTTATGGATAATAATTATCAGGCAAACAATCCTAAATGCAAATGCTGCAAAAGTATCGTGAAGCAGCAGATTCTAAATCGTAATTATTGGTAATATCAATAGAGCCAAAATTCAAAATTGAAGAGTAAATAACCTATGAATGTCAGCCAATGCTAAATAGGTATTAACAATGTAATTAATTTTGATTAAACTTTACAAAAAGGATTTCAATTCCTAAAGAGATTCACTTATAATTTCCTAAAGTTCAACCAATGTCATTGAAGGATAGCAAATTATTTGTATTAAAATTAGTTAACCTCAATTAAGAGATAAAGGATAATCAAAAAAAGATGAAGAAAATTAAAAATTTTAAAGAAGAAGAAAATTCAAAATTGCCTCTCATCTAATCACAAATGTGATAGCTGCCATTTTTTGTATTACTCATAAAATTTAATACATTTAAAGATAGTAAAAAAAAAGAACAACTAAGGATTACTAGGTTTTAATAAGAATGGTTGCTATAACAAGCATCATTTTAGTCAAATCGAATTCTCTTTAATGCTAAATCATTCCTATTTGCTTTCAAAGAAAAATTTCCTAATCAAATGTATCAATATCTCAATTTCGAAAGATTTTATTAACATTAAATATTTGATATAGAATTCCTTCTCTCAAACCTTTCCGGTTCTTTAATAAAGATGGAAAAAGAGAAGAGATGAAGAATTTTATATCTTTGATTTGTGGCTATGTATAGTAAAAATACAAACTAATATTTAGTGATGAGTGTTCCTTAGGAAATAAATCAGAACATTCTCATAAACAATGGCATCTTATAGGAACATTTAAAGAAACAACATAAAAAAATTTCTAACTTTAAATATTTAATTGGATCATTAGGTGAAAATGGCTTTTTATATTATTGATTATTTTCTGGTACAGGGAAGAGTTATATTTTCCAAGACTTTTTAATTAAAGTTCTAAACTAAGCCACAATTTATTATAAGGATAAACCATTTGTTTTGATTTTAATAATTATAGTATTCATAAATCATCTTTCGTAAAGGAGATAATTGATAAAATCCCTTGCATTTTTACTCCAGTATATAGGCCTGAGTTTAATGCTATCGAACATATGTTTGGATGGATTAAAAGAAAGTTAGTTAATTCGTAACCGAGCATAACTTCATAATTTATCTAATAAATTCATTAAATCATCAATCAAATTAATGAGAATTGATATGAAATTGGTGTAGAAGCATTTATGAGCCTCTTTTTAAAGAATTGTAATGGATATGAACTTTAAATTTAAATATTTATAATTGATCAAAATCTATTTTTCTGTATGATTTAATGATATATTTAAATGAATTAAAGTTATTAAAATGAAAGTCACAAGAAATATCCAAATAACTGGAAGAATTTATTCCCCAAATTTAGAGATGTAATTGATAGATACGATTATTTTGATGTAAATCTTGTGGGTTGTAAATTGCATTAACGAAGATAAAAGAATTGGTATGTCATTGTATTGTTTGCATTTTAATCGATTCATCTAACTTTAAGGATAAAATTTAAGAAATAAATAGAAAAAATAACTCTAAAGACAAGAACGATGAAATAGTAATTTTTATAATAGATTAATAGCCGAATTCATACTTAGAAATTCGTTCAATTCTAAACATAAGAAAATTATCTTAAGGCAGCAAAAATTTATATTAATCATCCTTAATCAAATTAATAAACAAGATTGAAACAACAAATTTTTAGAGATTATAGCCAAAAAGAATTTATGCATTTAATTTCATATTAATGTAAAAGTATGAATTAAGTGAATGCATTAACTCGATTCTAAAAATCAATTAATATACCAATATCCCCAGAAATGAAGGATATAATTAAATAAAAAAAAACTATATTTAAAGAAATTGCCGAAAAGAGGCCACATCGATCTCGGGAATTGAAATATTACCAAATGGTAATTTTTATTCATGAATGATAGTTTCTTGATGAACTCTTTATTTGTAAAAGGGGATTTTTGGCTTTTAGATTATTTATATTATATGAATTATCAGCAAGAATTTCTGAACTTTCACAAATAAGTTTTTCAATGTTGATAAATGGTTTGATAAATTATGTACAAAGAAATAGTAAAGAATGGGGAAAAAGCTGAAAGAAGGATAAAGTTAATTGAAAATATTTAGAAATAAACAAAACTTTTTGTGTTTAGAAATAAAATAAATGAAGAGTTCACTTTAAATATGTGTCGTAATAAATAATAAATTAAATCCTAATCCTTTTACAAATAATTAAAATATGCTTAAAAACTAATAAAAGCTCGATAAATCAAAACTTCGTATGAGTTTAATGAATTTTTAACAAATTTTTAATATCATGATTTAAGGTAATGCAAATTGCAAGAATTGCATAGAAGTGGATTAGGAGAGAAGCTAATTAAAAATTTTTAAAGCATGGAAATTTCAAAACAACCTAGTTGTATATTTAAGATAATTAATAAAATGATGTTATTGATTTTAATTTAACTGAAACAGAATTAAATGATCAAGTAGTATACAAATCAGCAGAATTGATTTTGAATTTTAAAGATGATAATGATTATTATTGATAACATTTATGCATAATGGTTTATTATTGTCTGTTAAAAGATAACAACGTTTTTTGATATAATCAATTTGTAAAATCTGATCTGCTTGTTATTTTTCCATTAAACATATATATTAGCAAATATAAGGTATAAAGTTCTAAAGTAACGTGGAAGACTAAATAGAAGAAATTCAAGTGCATAGCACAAACAATAACAAATTTAAGATTCTTTCAGTTATGTAATATATATGTTTTATATTGAGTCAATAAATATGCCTATTTTATTGACTCAATATATTTCATATACTGTCTAATAGTTTATATTGTGTCTTCTTTTTCACCGATATATAGATATATAAATATAATCAAATTTGGAAAAATTTACTGCCTTTGTATGAAATTTCACATAATTGCGCTTTCGAAGAATTAATTTTGTTGAGGTTTAAATTTCAACATTTAATGTTAAATCAATATGATTTATTGAAATAAAATGATCTAAATAAATACTAAAAAATAAAAATTAGAAAAATTTTAATACTTGAGACTGATAAAAATCTCTTATTGAAAAAATTAAGGAATCTTGAAATATCATTGTACATCCTTATATAATAAATTATTTAAACTTTCATTCATTGAACTTTCTTTTAAATTTTTAACAAACAAATTTTCCTATTGGCAATCCATTTAGATACTCTCCCTATCTGATTTTTTGATCATCACTTGAATAGTTAAGTATTCTTACTCATAATAATTCTCATCTAAATCAATCCATAAACCATATTTCTTTCCATATAAATAAGTTCCACCACCACTAAGAGATAATTAAAACTTATACATAATTTAATTTTTATAAGTAGCATTCCATTTACCTTACTTTTTTCCTTTCTAATACATTCCCTCATATTTAATTTTACAATATCTATTCTACTAAAAATAATCTACTTGTAATAATTTTCGTGCAAATCAATCCATTATCCATTTTTCTGACCATTTTCATTATAAAACCCTCCACCTCTAAAAAAATTATTTAATTATTTTAATTCTTACATTAACTTTTATTTGCAATACGTTTACCATATTAGAATTTTTTGACCATTTTAATATCTACCTACATATTTAATAAGAGAATAGCTAATTGTTATTAAAATTGGAATACTTAGAAAAATTTTCATCCAAATCAATCCAATTTCCATCTTTATTATGATCTTCATTATAATAGCCTCCAGCTCTTTATAAATCAATAAACTTACATCACTGAATCTCTATAAAATGTGTTCCATTTTTTAGATTTCTATCCATTTTCGTAAATTCCAATTTCAGTAACCAAGCTATCTCTGAATTATATTATGAAAAATAAATACTTAGAAAAGTTATCATATAAGTTAATCCACATTCCTATCTTAGTCCCATTATTATTATAAAATCCACATCCTCTGACGAATTTAATAAACGTTTACGTATAATTTTCTTTATATAATATATTCCACTACTATTATTTTATACCATTTAGATATTCTCCTTAATATCTAATAAAACAATAACTAATTTAAACTCATAATTAATAACTTAGAGAAGTTAAATTATAAATCTATCCACTTTTTGATTTTCTCACCTTTCTCATTATAATAACCTCCACCACTAAAATAACTATTACTAAAACATAATTTGATTTTAATAATTTGTCTGCCATTGGAATACTTTGACTCCATTTTAATAAGATCCACTATTATAATTGTTATTTGATTACTCAGAATAATTTTCATCTAAATCTATCCAAATGCCTTGCTTCATACCTTATTCATTATAATATCCTCCACCTCTAAAAATTGAAATATATCAATAAAATTACATTGTCTGTTCCTCTAGATTGATATTCCATTTTCCTATCTTCATACCATTTGAATATTCTCCACTATAGGAAATTTTTAATTATCTCACAATAAACATTTTTAATACTCACAATAATTCTCATCTTAATCCAACCAAAATCCATGCTGCTTTCCATTTATATTATAATTCCCTCCACCACTTTAATATATTACTAATTAAATTTATTTACATAATTTATAAAGTATCTTCTCTAAAATGTTTTTATTTGATATCCCAATTCCCTTATTTTTAACCATTAACATATTATCCAGTATAAAATACCTAAAAATCTCTAAAATATAAAATTAAGACATAACTCAGAAAAACTTTTATTCAATTCAACCCAAAAGCCATTCTTAAATCCATTTTCATCATAAATTCCTCCACCACTAGTCTAAACTTCATATATTACACTATTTCATTATTTATTATACTATTCCATTTATTACATCTAAGCCCATTTTTGTACTCCCCTTTCCATATTATTTAACAACTTAATTAGAAACTTAAATTACTCTAAAATTTGCTCTAAATCAATCCATCTTCCATCTTTTTAATTTTTCTTATAGAATCCTCCCCCTCTGAAATTTTAATGTATAAATAGTACTTTCTTTTATCTTTTTCTTTTATATCCCATAAACCCTCCTTCTCTCCATTTATATATTATCCAACTGTAACAATTTAAGAAAAACTTTAGTTTTATAATTCATTTACTTCAATTAATCCTCAATTAATTCTACGAATTTTCCAATTTTAATTCCATTTAAATTATAATTCTAAAATCCACTAAAATATAATGGATTAATTAACATAAAAGAAAATTCTTCAATCATTTTCTCTCTAAACATAATTTCCCAAAAACCTATTTTTATTCCATTCTTATATCTTCCCTCAAAAATCACCTGATTATTGCTTTCAAGGTTTAATCAATATCAAATACTAATGAAAATATTGATGTAGATCAATCCATTCTCCCTCTTTTAAACCTTAATCTGTGTAATTACCTCCTCCTCTAATATTTAAATTAATGATAACAATTACATTTTTTATTCCTTATATTTGATATTCCACCTTCCTTATTTTATTCCATTATTATAAAACCCAACTTAAGTGACCTATGATAACCTAAATTCAAAAATTAAATTTTTACTCCCAAAAATGATTAAAAGCTTCAACCCAATATCCTGTTTTTGTTCCATTTTTATCATAATCTCCTCCTATACCCAATGATTCTCCTCTCCAAAGAGCATTCCATCTACCAACTTTCATGTTATTATTTTAAGTTTCTCCAAGCCAAGTTAAACTTTTAATTTAGTCTAAGTTTCTATTAAAAGACAACTCATCTTCTATCAATTATTGTTTCTCACTATGTAATTATAAAAAATTATACTTATTAAGAATGGATCCATCCTTGATATATTTGATTTATCCTTTTTAATGTTGTATCAAGAGAGAGGTTTTCTAAAGTTATTATTAGAATGATCGTCGTACACTTTATATACCATCTTCAATTACAAATTCAGTACCCTTTGTATTATTAAAAATCTATATAGGTTTTAAAGAATACTAATCCAGAATCTTTCATATTTTTTTTATAATCTAAAATATTAGAATTTAATTCAAATTGTTTATAAGTATAATTAATAAACATGTTTATTTATATATCAATTTTAATTGAATGCTTATTTTCAGCTTTAATATTTTTCATGTGATGCTCAACTTCATTTTTTAATTATTTAGTATTGATTTTATAAAAATAACCAAAAAATCTTAATTAGCTCCACAAATTAGAATATTATGCAGTGAATTTTTAAAATTAATAAAAAAATTACTCTAATCAAAGATATGAATAATCAATTATCAAGCCTTAATATTTAAAAAACAAAATTATTGAAATATTGCGATTTTTTCTTAAATTAGATCATTTTAATTGAATTATTATTTTTAGATTTAAAGAAAAAAATTTTTTCTTCAATCGCATACAAAAGAGACAAGAAATGTGAAGTCTAAAACTAAAGACATAGTTTGATTGTAAATTGATATAATATAGTACTTTGAGACCATATCAATTGTTTTTTTAAATTATTTGAAATCTTAATGATAATATATCCAAATTATTTAATTGTACTTTATATATCTCAATTGTATTATTATTTCACAAGGATTAACAAGACTTTAATATAAATAAATATTGATTAGAAATATAAATTAGAATAGTTGAAGACTTAGAAAGTAAAATATTGTTTCTTTTAGGGGGATGATTGAGTATTGAACTCAAAATTATTGTTAACTTAGTTGAATATTTTCAAAGAATGAGTTTTTATCTAAAATGATAATTTTCAATATCTTTTAACAATCAAATTAAGGTTAAAAATAATTTCTTCCTTTGTTTTCGAATAACCATTTACCTTTAAACATAAATTATGATTGGCTTATAAATATTCTAGTTGAATTATGTTTATTATAAGAAATTGAGTCAAAAAATTATTAATTATAAGACAATTAATAAACCTATTAGATATATTATTTAAATAATTAATAAGTGTTATTCAAATATCTTCTGTATCTATTCAAATTTTGATATTTGATGCAATTCATTTTTTTACTTTATAGGCTGAATATTAATAACTTAATGAACCTCTTTAAAAAATAGAAAGTAATTCTCTATGATAATGAATAATGATTAACGATGACGGCATCCTGTTATAAATCTATTAATTAAATATATTATAAATAATGCATTAAGATTTTTCTATAAGAAAATTTACTCAAATTTTTTATTAAGAATCTACAACCTAGATATTTCATAAAGTATAACAAAATAAAAATCAGCCCTTTCTATTGTATTCCTTTCAATTATAAAATGGTTATCTTCATAAATCTAATTTAATAATCAATTTTTTTGTTTTCTACACTTTTTATTTGTGATTTTATTCACTATGATAGTAATCCTTTTTTTCAAATAAAACTATTGCATGAAAGAGACAGGATTAGTTTGAAATATAGTATTAAAAGTTAATTTTATCATCTAAGGAAAAATAAAATTGCTTATTAGAAATCTCAAGATTAAATATATTACTATTATTCCTATGATTAAACAAAACTAATTATCGTTATTATTTGATATTTATATTTAATTATAGGAATAAAAATATTTTTTTATACTTAAGTTGTTGGTTATATTTAATCATCTTTAATAAAATCTATAAAAAATAAGATATTATTGAAGTATTATTAATGAGAAAATTAATCAATAATTCTTATCATATTAATATTGATTTCTATCTTGTTTATATTATTTGGAATGTTAAATATTAAATAATTATTGGATCACTTAAAAATCAATTTGTATTTATTACTCCCAATTTAC